ATAAGTATAAGTATAAGAAGGGAATTGTGATCTGTGAAGCTACTTTGCTGAACTCATTTGGCGCATCATTGCGCTATTTCGGAAAGCATCTTGACACAAGATGTTCCTATCAAAAACAAAGAAGAACTTTCAAAAGAGCACACCGCCTTACTTTGTATGACAGCTTAGCCATTTTAGAAGCATTTTTATCCATTCTAGTGTCCTATCCGATAATTCACTCTAATTCTAAGCGTCATTCGTTGAGCGCATAACATGGAAACTGTGCGGCATCATAAAGGCTCAAATATTGTCCCGTGTGTATCCTCGAACGAGTTTCACCTCCACTGAAGAGCCTGCACCGATCACGAGGGGATCCAAGTAGGAAGTTCAAACGGGTATGTGTCAAATTTCGCCGCGCAATTCGCCGCGCGCGTCCTCGGACGCACGACTTGATCTTCCTCCAGCTCAAGCAACTTGTCAAGATCAATAGGACATTGAAAGGCAGTTCGTGTAATTCTGGCTCGACTTAGTCAGTCCTTCGTGCATTTGCAACGACTGAAGTATAGGTAGTATTAGGGTGTCCATAAAGTTCGTTGGCTAATTGTAAACAGCGTCGCGTTACGCAACGCGTTTTCATTTTGCATAATGATATCGCAATATTGAAAGTACTCGCTTGGGGCTATCTTCTGAGCTAGCTACTCTGAATTTCTTTTCCTGCTCTTCCCACAATAAAGCAGTGAAGATGAGTGATAGTTACCACCACCGCCGATGTTTGCTGGACTACTCTAGGCGTCAGGCCACGACCAGGATGCGTCAGCAGTTCGGTCGTAACACCCCTCCTAAGAATTGGATGTCAAAATGGTGGACTCGCTTCACCAATGGAAACCATGGCATCGAAGACATGCCGTGGTCCGGCCGCCCAACCACCGTCGTTCGACAAGGCATTCTGGATGCCCTGGACGATGAACCGACGTCGTCCTTGCGCGACTTAAGCAAGGTCACACAGGGACCCTGTTCCACCATCCACAAAGTCCTCATTGAATCTGGCAAGGTGTCGAAGAAGCGTCGAGTTGTCCCTAACGACCTCACGCCGGCACAATCAAGGAAGTGGGTTGAGGTGTGCTCCGTCAACCTCAGACTCAGAGGCCTGAGGAAGATTCTGGACTTCCTCATTCGCCAAGATGAGAAGTGGGCCCACTACTCTACTCCTGCCAACAAACCAGCCTGGTTGGATTTCGATGCGCCCCCGCCAAGCCGTGCAAAGAGAAATATGCATGGAAAGAAGCATCTCTGTCATTCTGGTTCTCTCGTCACGGCGTCGGCCACTACAGCATCCTACCCAACAATGCCACAGTGAAGGCAGAGACCCTTTCTAAAGAATTGAAGGAGGTCGAGGTGAAAGCTGCCGCTTTGTCCCAGAAACTTGCAAATCAGCGGTTGCTCTGGGACAACACTATCCCCCACAAGGCGAGAGATACTCAGGCCGTCCTGGACAGGCTGGGCATCAATCGGTCACGCATCCACCGCATAGCCTGGACATTAGTCCATGCGGTTACCACATCTTCCGGTCCATGCAAAATTTCTTGGACTTGAAACAGCTGAAGAACGAGCGCGATCTCGAGGAGGTGACGGAGGGCTGAGCCGAGCCGCGGCCGGCCGCTTTTAGGAGGATGGAGTTGCCACTCTACCCGATCCTTGGCGAAAGGTGGTGGGTATGCTGGAGATTATATCATGGACCAGTAAGTTCAACTTGGTAAGTTATCTTTACAAGCTCTGAATAATGAACGGCCAACAAACTTTATAAAACCCTAATACATAGTTCGCTTTCGGAGCTGTACAGAATAGCAACAACCCGACATCTAACACTTTATTTAACTCTATCACTTTATCACATCAATACACATTGATAAAGGAGATCATGTTAGAACCCATCAGTATTCAACGGGAACGCAAAGTGGCAAGTGAAAGTTTTCAATCCCTCCCGGTACATGTGAGGGTGATCCCGTAGTTGTCAATCGTAAATTCAGCGAAGTTTCGAGCCAAGTTGTTGTTGATGCGATGAAGGGCTTTTCACAAGAAGTCTTCTTCATGATTGTTTTGCGGATGTGCATGCCTCACACGATGCTTGGTGGTGGTCACTGACGGAGGAGGGCCGTTAACACTTTTGTACATCACCTTCGGTATTGCCATTTTGCACTCTTTCTTTTCCTGAAAGAGAGACATATCTCACGCTCTGAATCGCATTTTGGAAGTGCGATGTCTTACCTTGATTAGGTGTTGTATATTGGTCCTTACAAGTCTCGAGTTGAACTCTTGTACAGCTCGTCGGTTTGGCGCTAAAAATTGCGGATCGTCGCTTTTCTGCGTCGTCTGCACCATTTTAGCCCATTCGGCCATCTGAAGCAGTTGGTTCTAATGATCATCACCACAAGAAAAATTGCGCTTATCCCTTACGTGGTCTTTAGTTATGTGGATCGGTTGGTTGAGAATTATCCACGTCACTGTTTCCTGACATCCTGGTGCCGTCATTGACCCTTCATAAGTCACAAGATCTCGAGTGTATGGCAGTAGTCGCCACGGCTCAAGATCAGCCAGTTCTACTCGTTGTCCTGAAGTTCAGGCTGTAAAGTTATGGTAAAAAATTGTAGCCCTCCCAGTTCATTTCAGACCCACCAGACGGAAAGCGGGGAAGTGGGTGGGGGAGGGGGAAGCGGGGAGAGGGATGAGGAGGGTAACGAGTTTGACTGCTTTTTTGATCGCCTTATTCGGTTACTGATCCTTTCTCTCGCTTTAGCAAATGGGCAATCAAAAACGAAGAACACATCGAAGTTGCACGGGTGTGGGATTACTTCTTGAAACGTGCCAAGCTCGGTACGCTGAGAACCAGTGCCGCCTGTCCTGAGAATTGGAATAGAAAGAGCACTGCACGAGTTTCCTATACCTCCAACCCCCTCTTCATTTCTGAGTCCCCCAAACATTCTGAGATAACCACGACCTTACCTACCTTTGTAGATGATACTGGCCGTTGCTATGGTCAGCTTCAACAGCTCTTCGTTAGTTTCCTTACCATACTGGAATCAAATATACAGCTCTAGGAACGAGTCAAAATAGCATTTCGTTAGGACTCACATCGACTAGCACCGAAATGCCGGCAATACCGTGAGGAGATCGAAAAGCTGATGAAAAGTTTCTGTAGAGATCGGTGTTGTAGGCCAGCATTTGTAACTGAAGAAGAGGAGTGACGCAACCAATTTTTATGAGCGAACTCCAAAAGAAATTCTTGATGATTCTAGTCAATATGTTTAGAACCCTCTCGGTTTCGTTCTGTTAATAAAGGATAAACGGTAAACGATAAAGTCTCTGGATGTTAATCAATCCCGTCTGAGGGATGCGTCCCCGCAAAAATGCGTATGTGGTCTATACAACGACTTGGTTTGGTCAGCCAAATAAAAAGTCAGTGCTTTTATCCGGGGGACGCACGATTCGTGCGATTCTGGATGCGCGCGGCAAACTGCGCGGCCGAATTCGTGATGATTCGAGCGACTCTGACGCCTACTACTGAAGTACAAACTTGAACTAGAGTGGACTAGTAGAATCAGCTAACCGTACCCAACTATTCTACTTCAAGTTTGTGCCCCAATA